TACTTTTTAATCTGCAGGACCTTTCTTCATAATTCAACCACCTTAATTTGGAAGGAAATAAGATGTCTTGAGAAAGAGAAACTTCATTTAATAATCACCGCCATTCGTGATGAGCAGTGGATCTCAGTGCGAATACAAAGGTATTACTTTGACAATGAAGTAAGTAAAGTAATAAAGTAACTTCAGTTGTTAATTCCTATCCTTATAAACAGATGTGCGTCTCCACTGAAAAACGATATGTATGTACATATTTCTAACCGACAAAACAATAGTACAGCCACAATTTCTTACAACTGATGTTCGAAAGTCAGTCAGAAGCTCCATTGTGTGAAGTGTTCTAGCAGTAGTGACAGTTAGTAGCTGCGAGCAGTATTTACCCATGGTCAATTGTTATGGTGGTGAGACCTTCCGAAGCAAGACCAATCACATGTTTGACCTCTTCCTAATAAATATTTTCTAAGGTTGATGTCTCTTCATCAACTGGAACCATTGTTGGTTTTTTCAAATGTGACAAGAGAAAACAGTAAGGTGTCTTTGTATAATTGGGTGCCACAATCCACAAAACTACAAATGTGACTTATCATGAATTTGCAACCCTCTTTTCACAAGGCACTCGAAACATTCCAACAAAAGACGGACAATCATCGCCTGATTTTGGGCCCAAATCACCTACAACGGCTATGGGGCCGTCGTAATGAGACCGATTAATATCCGTTTGAACTCCGCCGCTCCCTGATTCACGGACCAGCGGTTAATACAATACATCCTGCAGCACCAAGCCACCGTATTTCATTGTTAGGCTAACCGACTACGAACAATTCTTCATAGATCACAGACTTCACGGTTTTTTATACAATAAAAAATCTTTTCTCAGTAGCTAAAGGACTTAGGTTTTAAACGTGAAAATTTTTATAAGAGACTCTATTTTATCGGTCTATAGGTGTTAATAAGATGTTGAAGGGCGCGTGTGGCGCAGTGGTCGGAGGCGTCCTGTAACACACAAGTGGAACCGATCCCTGCACTCATGGCCCACTGAGCCTTCCATCTCTTCGGGGTGGGCAAGTTGGTGCAAAACTTGTCTGGGAGGATAGTAGCACTGGCTCGATACATCGGCAGGCCACCGCGAGTCATTGTGAAAACCAGATGTGAATTCAGTCACCTCCAAACGATGCTTGACGAAGTCGAATCCATGGCACATCCCTAAGTGATTGATCAACGTCGAGAGTTCTTTTTATTTAATAACGCTTAAACTGTTTCTTTACTGTGCGTTACTATGTTCTATTACGCAAATACAATGCGGCCTGCATTTGGAAGTTTTTTCACCCTATGCTGGATCTATTTCGATGGTTGGTATATTCACAAACTCCAAACTACACCAACGTAATTGAAATGAAATAGCAGTCATCTTTTGAGGAACTCCTGGTCAGTGAATATTTTAGAAAATAGGCTTTTCGTAAATCATTATTTGTAGAAAGAGACTTTTCTAATCTTACTTTCATTGTTTTTATCTGCTTTCCATTATCTAGCGAATGAGTCCAGATAAACACATTTCGGACACTATAGTGTCTAAACGGGCCGTTATTGAATGAAAAGACCTGTGCCACTTAAGATCTAGAAGTTAGACAGACCTTAACAATACTCGGCCGATAGCAACTCTTCTTTTCCGGCCTTCTGATAACTGCATGACTCATCAAGAGATATGTGAAGGACGTGTTAAAGAGAGATGGACTTGTCCCCGACTGTCACTTGCTTTCCTTCGGATGGCGAACTAACAAACAGCCAAGCACCGACTTCGCGACAGGTGTTGTTTATTTCCTGCTATAGGTCAACCAGTGTCCATATATATATATATATATATATATATATATATATATATAT